AAAAAAAAAAAAAAAAAAAACAGAAATGTTTTTCCAAATTGTTGCAAATCCCCCAAAATTTTTCCAATGTATTTATTGAAAAGATCTGTGTGTAAAGTAGACCCACACAGTTCAACTCAAGTTGTTTAAAGGTCAATTGTTGTTTATATATCTGGGTGTATTCATTTTTAAATAAATACACACATATTTTTAAAGACTTTTTAGAAATGCTACATATAGACCTGGTATTGTCAGTAGAGGCCTCCTAGGGGATATTTGGCAATGTCAGGAGACATTTTTGATTGTCATGACTGGGGGGGAGGGGGGAATGCTAATAAGTATTTAATGGGTAGAGTTCAACAATGCTGCTGAACATCTTACAGCACACAGGACAGCCCTCCGTAACAAATAATTATTATGTAGTCCAAAGTATTAATAGTGTTAAGAAACCCCTTACTAGACACAGTCGGATACCTTATATTTAATCTGTACTTGTTGCTTGCAAATTGGTTCAACAGCAAGTAGAAAACAGTCTCATTAACTTCACAGAGAATAATGTTCTGCTGTTTTCTGGTAGGTAACATTCCTGGACTTAGTGTAGCTCTTTGATTTTATGTTTGAAAAGTCTCTAGGAGGAATTCGTGTTGTCTGTTTTGTCGCTGGCTACATTAGGTCAGTGTGTCGTGATAGCCTTTTAGCTCTCTTAGGTTAAGAAGATAGCTTTCACCACCAGCTCTTTTCTATCATAAGAGTCAGAAAAATACTCTCCATCTTGATTCTTCACTCATCTCTCTATACATCTTGATGTTCAATGTGAAATCAAATCAAAGGCAACAGCACAGAGCAGGAACAAAGGGTAAGAGAAGAAGCAACATGTGTTCTCCAGGTAAAATGTTTGCCTATCTTGTGTGGGGTTAGGAAAAGTTTAAGTTTACTAAGAGTCCATCAGCATAAACTAAATGCAGGGTTGTTCATTTTGTGTTACATACCAAATATGAGTAGGGTTTTTAACTTCATTAAATTCCAAATAGACATTTTCTTTAACAAATGATTTCACTGCTTTAACTAAGTATACTTTAATTCTGAAAGGCCTAATATCACAAGCAATGAATAAAACCTATAACTAGGGAGGCCAAGGGAACCATTTTTAATATTAAATATAAGCAGATTCCTTACAGCTCAAATGGGACCAGTTAGCTTTGAAATTAAAACAAACCAAATAAAAGATTTAGTGTAATGCCATGAGATATTCACAACACACTTGCATTTTTCCTTTTTACCCTGACTCTCCAGGCATCTAGCATCAGTATCCAATGGAAAATAGAATTACCTAATGTTCATTGCTAGTGAACATGAAAAAATAATATATGGCATAGGTTCTCAGTGTCCTATAATTCATCTATATTCTTTGTACACAATTGGAAAATATGTACTTTATCCTTTCCACAGGAAAAAAAGCTCCTCAGAATTAGAATATTGGCCAATACTAAATGGAATGGCTTTGCTATACCAATGGGAGATACCATCATATGTGGAGAAACCACATTTTACAATTTTTTTTTCCATTAACAACTATGTAAGAGTTCAAGAATCTGCATTCCTCAATCTCAACTCTTAACATTTATATAGAAACCCATGTCCTGCTGATCTCTGTTTTCCTTTTGCCTCTGGTCTTTTCTCTTTTATTTCTATTTTTCCTGTTCCATGTTATGGACCAGAATGTAAACACTTCGAGCAAAGGACAGAAACCAAATCAAAAAGCCATCAGAAATCTTAAGTAATTATTCGTTGGCTGCCACTGTCTCAGGCCCTAGTCTAAAATCTCAATGATCTCCCCCAATTCTTTGTAATGTAACAAGAATAAGAACTTTACAGTAGATGCTTTGGTTGAATATCAAGTAATTACATAATAACTGGTTTACAACAAGCAACCTGCTTGGTCAAAGTGCAGATTCAGGGAGCTTCCCCTAGTTTTTCTGATTCATCAGTTCTGAGGCTGCTGCCCAGGAATCTGGATTTACTAGGAAGTCCGTGTATTACCCTTGGGAAACATACACGAGAGTATAGAACACAGGCTTTGGGGAGTGCAACTTGAGTTTAATTCTAATTACTGGCTAATACTGGCTCAGTAGCATACCAGAAGTTATTTAACCTAGCTAAGCTTTAGTTTGCCATCTATAAAATGGGACTAGTAACATTCATCTCTTTTGTTTGTTATTAATATTAAAATATTCATTTCAAAGGGCTGATACATAATTGGTACATTATAAATGGTGTATCATTAGTGGTGGTTGTATCCATCATCATCAACACTTTTGTCATCACCAATCTGCCCCCATTAATTCTTGTATACTAATTTTGGGGAGGTATAGCAGTTCTAGGGGAAATAATGAGAAACCTTTAGATATTTGTTTTTCATTTAGGAAACCTAATTAAAATCAAATGTACTGCAATAAGGGCATATGTGGTAAGTTACCACTGACTTTCTCTGCTTTTGGCAAGAATTTTCAGCGCCATGTGGTAAATCTCTTGTGCTGCTTAGAGACAGAACTTAGCCCTATTTATATGTCTTTTTTTAAGTACAAACCAGGTGATTATTAGTTAATAAATGTGATTGATTTGTTGATAATATCACAAAATATGGAAACAATGGTGCACATATTGTTTGTTGATTTCCTTGTTGAATAATTTATGTAGTTAAATTTTGACATGTTTTTAAAAGGATCCAGCTACCTTATAAATATACAAGCAGTAAAATATAGTACGTTGGACAAGTTGGGGTATAATAAATAGGTTCATTTAAAAAATGTTTTATCTAAATTCACAAACCTTTAAACATGAAGGAAAGAAAACAACATCTTTGCTTAGATCTGTGGTACAAGATGAAGACATCCTCCCCCTCAGCTACAGAGATAATGACTATAGCATGATATTTCCTTTTTTCTATGCTATACTATGAGAAGCACTGAGTGTGATATTCCAGACTCAGAAAAACACAATACAGTTATTTAGCATAATAAAACTCAAAAGCAAATACCCTGGAATACTCAGTTTTACACATAAACCCCTCACTTGCATGGATAAACACAGTGGCACATTGGCACTGAATGTCAAATCTCATTTGCACACACGTAATCAAATGATTCCCATCTCTTGTTTCACCCATTGGACTGTAAGACCTATCAGGACAGGTACTGTGATTTTGTTTGCTCCCCACTGTCCCATGGTCTCAGAATATAAGTACCCTAATAGATGCTCAAAATAATTATCCAATTAATAAGAGAGCTAGATTTCACCAAATAGCATTTCACCAAGTATAAGCACTACATTTATTGCAAATAGAAAGGTGCACAGAATGGAATCTTACCAATACTAATTAGCCTCTATTATCAGGTCCATGAATGATAATGTTCCTAATAAACCAATAGTAGAATAAAATCCCAAACACACCAATAAACCTGCTGCTGAAGTTATTTAATGTGCTTTTACGCAAGGAGCATGTGGCTCTAATTTAGATCCTGTTGATGAAGCAGATTGTTATGACTCCAATAGTTGTGTGTGGTGCTCCCCCAGTAGATAAGTAGGGTAGGTCAGTTTGTCAGGCTTTATCTCTAATTAGCAAAGCACTAAGCATGAACACTGCAAACTATAGCAGATAAAAGACTCGACCTTGCTAAGTTAGACACGTAAGAGGGAAGGCAAGTGAAGCTCTATTTTCAGGAGGAGGATGCCTATTACGCAGTAATCAAAAGGTACCCACTTTGCGAGAGCCATATCCACCGTCAGAACATAATGTATCAAGCTGGCCCACGGGGCTGTCCTCCCGGAGAGCTTCCATTCTGTCTGAAACTTCCCCCTACCCCCGATCATCCCCCACCCCAAAACAAATAGGCTGATTTACCTTTCTCGCAGTGGCTTCCTGTGAACCCAGGAGGACAGACACATTTGTTAGGAGCCACGCACGTTCCACCGTATCTGCAGCCCTCTTGGCAGAATGCTGTCACACAAACAGAAGGGTTTCTCTTAGATAAAACGGCAATATGGAAATTCATGGCAAACAGCACGAGCACTGAAACAGTTCTTCCCTTGGTACAAAAGGAATATAGATCTTTGTTGCCGTATTTTGGTATACAAAAAGAAAGAAATGTAATACTACCTATTTCACTGGTTTACATGAGAACAATTGAAATAACCTATGTCAAGTACGTAGGACAGGGCTGGCACGTGTGAAATGGGAGTCACTATGAGCAGCTATTACTGTTGCTATTATTGTGATTATTGATGTATTTGAAATTAAATAAAAATTTACTAACTAAAAAGGATGAGATTGGAATAATAACTAAAGGCATTTTAAGTTACATTTTTGTAACTACTCCTTGCTACTAAACAGATTACAATAAATATTTTTACATTTTTTTTAAAGATTTTGGGTGGCCGCTATAATTTTTAACAAAATAACAATTTTAACTAAGCACTTTCTCTGTATATTTAAAATGTTTCCAACATTTCTATGATAAAAACAATGCCTTATCCTTATAGCTAAAGTACTTAACACACTTCAAATTATTCCTTTAAGGAAAACGTCTCAATGTGAAAATGCTATTTTAAAGAGTGTGGGTTTTGTTAAAAGTCTTTTCCTAAGCATTGCAAAGTTATCCCAACCCCGCCTCAGTGCTAACCCACTAGCTTTCCCAGGTACGTTCCAGGTTAGTTTGCCTTATTACATATTAGCATAGCATACGTCCATGCACTTCTCCTTTGCAGTATCAAATGTAATTGTCCATTTGCATACAATTGATTACCATCTCTTGTTTCACCCATTAGACTGTAAGACCTATTTAAGACAGGTACTATGATTTCATTTGTGCCCTACTGTCCCATGGTCTCAGAATTTAAGTACCCTAATAGATGCTCAAAAAATATTTGGTTAATGAATCAACCTATATTCTAAAGTTTGTTCTGATAGGAATCCTCTTATTCTAACAATTCCACACTTCCATCCAGAATAATTTGCTATTAAACCCTGCTGGACAACCAATAATTTAGTGTTCTAAAAATGTAAAATTTTTCACTAATGACGATGATTGCAACTTGTTAACACAGTTTCTTTTATTCGCATGAGAACTAGGTGAGCAAGTCTTTCCATTTTTAACTGCAATTAGAAAATTTCACTCTGGGAAAACGTCATGGTTATATTTTGCCACATCACATCAGCAATATGTGTGTAATAGTTAACTATCCTCAGATAGTTGAACGCTAGTCAAGATACATAGTACTTTTCACAATATTGTCATTTTCCACATCATTTAATATCCTCTAGATGACTTAACATTCTGTAGCTTAGCAATTGATTGTGAGTTCCTCTGCTTCTGCCAGAGCACAGTGTATATCTTGGTACTGAAATACCACTTCCTGTTCTCAGCATCTTAGTATCAGGAGACTATTCAAAAAATTTTAAAAATTAAAAAAATAAGATTAAGCCAATATCTGCCTTGGTTTGTTCATCACAAACTAAAATATATGTAAATATATGTATACAAATGTATATAAACTCTCTTGTCCCCAAAACTACACATTGTGGTCTCTCGTGACTGATATTATCAAGTAAATACTTAAAGTATTGTTCTGCATCAAAGTTAGTAATGGAAGAATAAAATATTTTTGCCAGTTAAAAGGTATTTTTCATAATACACATGTGCTCTTGATTTACTCAACTCTTAAACAGAAATGATAATAGGAGATTTTGTCAAGAATGCATGAGATGCTTTTAATGTTTTAAGAATGTACAGATGTCATCAAAAATAGAGTGCCCTGAGGATGAAATGAGGTAATATTTATAAGGGGCTTAAGATAATCTTGGCACATAGTGTCAAATAAATATTTTGTGATTGATAGCAATATCGTTATGACTATGAACCGTGGACCAGGAACAAATCATCTAATACCCAGACAATATAAACCCATCCTACAAAGTGTTCAGCTTCACCAGATTGGCTTAAGGCATCCCTTGTTATGTATGCTGATTGAACTTCTAACAGTAGTAGTAGCCCTTATCATGAAATATCTGAGAGGTGTTATTATTTCTGTTATGAAAAATGGTGAAACAGGGGCTCAGAAATTAAGTGCCCTAAGGCTCTACAGGTATTAAGCAGCAGAGCCAAGATTCATGGAAGACTCCTTTGTCTTCAAAGTTTTACCACCTATTTATATTTTACAGTGAAGGTTTATCTGCAATCTGGTATTCACATAGGCAGGTTTATGCCTTTTTGGAAAAGTTCCATAAGGGATAGGGGAACTAACTATACACTGAAAGAAAAAAAATACATCCAAATTACACATAAAGCATGGGGTAGGGAGCTGCTGAAGTTCATGTTCTTATTATATAATCTCCATTTTGTTCTGAGCTTAGTCACATTTTACACATTTTACCCAACCTAGGAACATAATATTGTTTAATGGAATTTATCTGGAATAAAGATGACTTTCACTGCCTACTTGTACCTTACGTAATATGACAAAGTACATTCAAAAGACACAAAAGCAAATATAGAAGGAGCCATGTATTCTAAAACTTAAAACCACTTTGGGGAAATCAAGATCAATGTAAGTTGTCTTTGAATACCTCATAAAACATAAAAAAATACTGTTGTATCCTAGTCTAAAAATTGTGGGTAGATTTATATCGGGGTAGGCTCTTCATGATCAACTATGAACCAGCTTTTCAAAGAAAAGGACACTGATACTCAGAGAACCTGTACTTTGTATAGTGTCACTTATTTGATGGCATCATCAACATGAAGCCAAGTCACTGCTACATTTCTTTTTACCTTATAAGATGCGATGGTATAACTAAATGGACCGAATCCTTGTTCTACATTTATTAGCTGTGTGACCCATAGCAAATTACTTCACTCCTCTGGACCTCAGTTTTCTCAAGAGAAAAGCAATAATGATAGTAACACCCATGCCATGTAGGTTAAATTAAATGACCAATGTAAACCACCCAGCACAGGACCTTGTGAACACAATGTGCTCAGTAACTGCATGTGACGGCTGTTATTTATCACCAGGACTCTTCTTTTCCAAATTGAAATATTATTATGTGCCAGTTTTTGCTCCATATTCTGGAGATGGAGCAGTGAATTAGACAGAGAAGATCCCTGTGAATGAGGCTTATTCTTTAGTGAGGCCTCACTGTCACTCCTTCCTTGAGTTGATGACTTTCTGGTATCATGTCATTTGCAATGGAACTGGGGATCATAGATCTTTTGTAAACTCAGAAAACCTCAGGTATGACAGGCATGCTGCTCCTTTGTCAGCCTATTTCCAGTTTCCAAACAATGGCTCAAATAGATGGTAGTTTTCCAATGATATTACAAACCTGAATCTTTTGTTATAGATTGGTCATTAACATACTATTCTGGGGGAGATGTTGGATTGGAACAACTCTAAAACAGTATGATTCCATTTTTGAAAGGATTCTTTCCATTGTGCAAGAAAATCACAAAATGCAAAACTGAGGGAAAGTTAATCCACAGAAAGACTTTTATATTAAAAAATTCTCAGCACATGGAATAAAACTTGGGCACTAAGGGGAACAAAATGACACCTTCTCCCTGGGGCCTGGTGGGTAAGTCAGCCTCGTTCTATGTTCATTCGCAGCAAACGAGCTTGGTTTACAGACTTCAACTGACATTCTCCAATCCAGCTCTGTCAATACTAAAAGTGATGTTATCACCTCCACGTTTGCAGATGCCAACTTGGATGCCCTGAAACATAATCAACTGTTCAATTTGACAAAAAAAAAAAAAAAGCTTTANATTAAAAAAAGTAATAGCCCTTCAGCTTCTAAACACTGCATGCTCTTCTTAATGTTTTATGGGCATATACTTAGATCCTAGAGATACCCTGTATCCTGACAAAATAAGGAAACATACAAGTTTAAGTTCCACGTGCTACAAGAAAATCCTTTTCCTGTCTCTTGGTTTCCCTAAGGAAACATTTTCCTTAAGCTCATTTCTGACTTCTCTTGACAGCTTTTTTTTTCTCATTCTGCCCCTGGGGAGGTAGAGGGATGGTTTCTATTACTAAACTTGGGAAGAAGATATTATCAGGATGATGGTGCTTCACAAGAAGGAGAAGCAGGAGAATGGGCTGGAAAGCACTGTATGATCAGAAGTTATATTGCTGTTACATTTCTAGCTTTATTCAGGATAGTGATTTATAGATGTGAATTATATCATTAAAAAAACTATCAAGGTATCTATGTATATATAAGCTGGCCAAAGACCGATGGTTACAGAGTGTCATGAACCAAAGGTTATGATTAATTCATGTGCACCTAAAATCCAAAGAGGGTAGGGAATATTTTAAATATGTCATGATCAGCAAAACTCCATGTCTTTCTTAGGAGTGACCTGCCTTCAGTTGGCATCTGTTTTCCTTGCCTACCTTATGACACCTTCTCCCTGGGACTTGGTGGGTAAGTCAGTCTTATTCTGTGCTCATTCTTAGCAAAGCCAAAAAAGCTTGGCTTACAGACTTAAACTGATGTTCTCCAGTTCAGCTCTGTCAATAATAAATAAAGATGCTGTCATTACCTGTGTGTTTGTTTTTTGGTTTATTCTCCACCTTGTTCAGACTACAATAATTATCAAAGACCCCTTGAAAGATTTCTACTTGCCAAAGTGGCAGGTGGAGTCAGTGTACTAGTGGCATACAGTGGGTAGATGACAGGGATGCTGCTAAACATCCTACAATAGCCAGGGTACAATTCTCAATTTTCACATCATCATTCTGGGCTCATAAGCACAACAATACTGCATAATATTTCATTACTCTCCCCAAATCACCTTCAACCCTGTTACTTACTCTATGTGTTCTTATCTGAAGCTTTCCTTTTCTATAGTAATGATTAATTCCATTTACTGAAGACCTGTTAGGTGCCTCATAGATAGACTATTCCATTTCATCCTTACAGCAACACTGAGCCTCGGT